CGTCGGCTGGGCCGGTGCATCCCGCCGGAGCGCCTGCAGGGCCGCCTGCGAGGAGGCCCCGAGGGCCGAACTGCTGGCCTCCCCCCCCGCGGCCTCGCCCGCGCGCGCGGTCGCCTGCAGGGCGAGGGTGGTGATTTTCCCCAGCGACATCAAATCCACCTGCCGCTCCGAGGCCGCCTCGAGCAAAGCCACGCGGATGAGCTCCACGATTTGCCCCACCACCAGCTCCTCGTCCAGCAGGTAGACCTCCGATTTGGTCGGGTGGACGTTGACGTCCAGGCGATCCGGCGGGACGTGCACCAACAGCAGGGTGAAGGGCCGATTCCCCCCCGTCAGGACCGAGGCATAAACGGCCTCCACCGCCCGCCGAATCGCCGCGCTCTCCACGAGGCGGTGGTTGACAAACAGGCAGAAGTAGCCCTTGCGCAGAAGAAGGTTGGAGTCGCTGGTGTAGCCCATGACGGTGAAGGCGCCCTCGCCGGCGGGGCCGGTGAGACCGGCGAGGTGGGCCGAAACCCGCCGCACCCGCGCCATCGCGTGGTCCGCCTCGCGGTCTTTGCCCGCCGCACCCCCCCCCATTTCCCCTCCTCCCCCGGCCGCCGCGTAGAGCGCGGGGTCGTAGTGAAAGATCCCGCGCAGCCGCGAGGCGACCCCGCTGCCATGCGAGAGCCGCAGGTTGTTCAGCGTGGTGGACTGCTCTGGGAAGGAGACGCCGTCGCCCACGCGGCCTGGGGCCTCCTTCCGGCAGGAAAACCCGACCTCGGGGAAGGCCAAGGCGTAGCGCGCGACGACGTCCACCAGCCGGCTCCACTCCTCCACCGGCCGGAGGGCGGCCCGGCGGATCGGGGCGTGGGCGAACATCCGCTCCGCGCGGATGGTCGTGCCGAAGTTCCCCGCACAGGCCTCGGGGGGCCCGAGGAGGCGGCCGTCCGCGTAGCGCCCGCGCCACGCGAGGCCGGACCCCCCCTCCCCCTCCTCTTCCGTCTCCTTTTCCCCCTCTTTTCCCTCTTTGCCGCGGTAGCGCGTCGTGGCGACGACGCTGGCGGCGAAGGAGAGCGCCGCGAGGGCCTCGCCGCGGAAGCCGAAGGACGCGAGCCGCGCGAGGTCGTCAAAGC